TTAAAAACATCAACTCAGCTATATGATTCAAAATTTGTGTTTAATTCATCGTTTTATACTTGGATAGTCATAATATGTTCAAAACTACCAATGGATTTACCCTATCTTAATCTTACAAGAATAAAATTATATTCAATCATAATATTTTTTCCGGATTTTTAGCTTTGTAAAGGTGAAACAATTTTTAAAATTGGTACCTTATAACAAATTACTAATATCTTATTCATCCATACTAAATTGTAYAACCATTAGCAACCTTATAATTAACAAAAATATATTTATATTTATTATATCGTAGGTACGCGTATATACACCCACACCAAAATTAATTTCTCACGGAACATTCTTGATCGGGCCATAGTTTTTAACGGATTGAAAATATTTATATTATTTAAAGTGAACTATGATAATGTATTACGTATTTTACGTTAACCATTAAAACTTTTTCATGTATACAATGAATGAATGAACTTATTGCGTATTGATAAATTTTGAAAATATTTTAATAACGAATGTACAATGTACCTATAGGTAGGTTTCTGTGAAAGTTAAATATTTTGAACTATTATTCAACTATATATACTCTGTCAACGACCACTAAATACAAACTGGCAACAATTTTCTTTTTCATCCAGCTCAATGTATTGCCATTCCCCATATTTCTTGTTGTTCTTTTTTACTTACTTTTCCTGTTGTCCTCCCAAGCCCACCTATAAAAATGATGTTATAATAAAATGTATTCATATAATTTCAGTGGTCACTGGCGCCACTGACGGCATTGGCAAGGAGTACGCTCGTCAGGTGAGTGACAGTAACAACAGCTTCAGCAAAAGCAGCAACTCCGAAAAGGTCGGCCGTGTACTGGATAATGCGGCCGATGATGACAGTCCGGTGGCGGTGGTTTCGGCGCGTAACTCGCTCGTCGACTAACTAACAATAATTCATTATCTCGCGAAAAAGACATTTTCAGTAGTTTAGTTAAATTAGTTACAGTAGTTATTAACTCAAACAATAAGTGTGTTAAGTCTTATAACTACGACACGACACACTAATTGTGTGTGCATTCTTGTAGTGGCGTGTTCATTTCAGCAAGTTCCAGCTATTATATTTCACATTTTATAATATAATATTTAACTGACCGAAAATAATGAA